AGTTCTTTCTAATCTTAGGTAAAGGGTTCCTCCTGCAAATAAGTTCAGGTGTATGGTAGCACTACCCTAAAGATGAAAAGCCTAATTGCCTCAGCATTATAATAGCAGTGGTATGTAGTGCATGTAGACAGTTTCAGGGAGAGTATGTGTGGCAAGTTAATATGATTTTAGATGAAGACCACAGTGCAGAAGTAATATTTCCCCTAGCTGGAGGATGAAGAGTTATACACTGCCATTTAAAAAAAAAAATGTAATTGGATTGTTAAATCTATTTCATGAATGAAAGTACTTTGACCTTTACAGGGAGGAATGACTCATTTTCATCACTGTATGCCCCTTTTAACATACACTTCCCACATTTGCATATGTAAGTAGCAATTAGTTCTCAAGGAGAGTTATTTTATGGCCATTTTAGCTTATTAAGCTTCCCAAGTAAACTAAGAAGAAACATTTAGTAACACTTGTGGCCTAGGTTCCCTGCAGTAAGTCATTTGGTTACCTGTGATGTTAACATGAAAGAACACAAGCACCTGTGCAGGGCTAGGCTACCAGGGCTCTAGATCACTATGGAGACCTTGCAAGTGCAGAGCATTTCGCCTGGACTAACCCAAGCCGATGCCTATCCAACATCCCACTACCTGTGGGATGAGTCACACAAGGGACAGTCAGTGCTGAGTCCTTTAGCTGACAGTTTCAGTATAGGAATGTTTAGGATTTTTATCGAAGAAAGCTCAAGAGCCTGTCCAGAGCCTACTCAACCAAAGACCTACTGTGAGTTGACATCAGAAAGCAAATCCTGTAAGACCAAAACAAAAACTGGCCAGGACTCTTCTGACAAAAAGGTTTGCTAGCAGATCAGTTTCCCATGGGAACGTACTGATTTTGATTAAACTGATTTTGGAAAGTTTTCCTTGGAGGTAGGACAGAATTTCCAATCAAAACCAAAGGCAATGACAGGAAAGTCACCGGCAATGTAATAGCTGGGAGGCTCACCCGGCTATTGGGACATCTGCAGCGCTGTGACCCTCTCTGAGCTCACCCCCCCAGCTGTGCTTTAACCCAGCGGGCAGCTAAGCACCACACAGCCGCTCGCTCACCCTCCTGCCCCCCCCACTCTGTGGGATGGTGGGGAGAACTGAAAAAAAAGAGAAGGCTTGTGGGTTGAGATAAAGACCGTTTATTAGGACAGAAAATAAAGGAAAATAATAAGAAGAAGGAGAATATTATTACCAGCAATTGTGTACAAAAAAGTGTTGCACAATGCAATTGCTCACCACCCGCTGACCGATCTCCAGCCTATCCCCAAGAAGCCGACACCCCCCACCCTGGCCAGCCACCCCTATATATTGCTTAGCACGATGCCAGATGGTATGGAATACCCCTTTGGCCAGTTTAGGGCAGCTGTCCTGGATCTGTCCTCTCCCAGCTCCTGCTGCACCCCCAGCCTGCCCGCTGGCAGGATGGAGCAAGAGGCTGAAAAGTCCTTGGCTTGGTGTAAGCACTGCTCTGCAACAACTAAACCATCAGGGTGTTATCAACATTATTCTCAACCTAAATCCAAAACACAGCACCATACCAGCTACTAGGAGGAAAACTAATTCTATCCTAGCCAAAACCAGGACACCTCCCTTCCCGTGCATTAATTTGATTTTTGCTCCAGAGAAGCACTGTGGGAAGAAAGAGAAACCAATATTAGTTCAATAAGCATTTCCAAGAGAGGAAAACTCTCTCTTACCTAATTTTGAAAAGGCCAACCTGACACAGAAGTGGTAGATGGGCTGGGGACCACAGCTCCTGCAAAAGGAAGCTTTTTCTTGCAGGATGCTGCATTACATGAAGATAAGTGTGCAAGAGAAATCTGGCATTGAGAGTATTTGCAGGAGAGCATTGTAGAAATTCCTGTGAACTTTGTCTATTAAACAACAGCACTCCAGTAAGAGTCTTTTACTAATCGTTCAGTAACACACTGAGACAAATTGCTTTATGCTTTGTGCAGAAATGCTGTTAGAATAAGAATGGGTTCACTCCAGTTAAATATCTCTGAGCAAGTATCAGAGACAGTAACAGTTAAAGAGAATAAAATATTATTTACAGGACTCTTTTGTAACCCTAAACTCAAGGGGAATTCAGCTTCTTGAGTTTTTTTCTCATCCTAAATTATATTTCAATCTCCATTCACATGGAGGATAATTTTGTGAAAAAAAAAAAAATAAACAAGGTAATTGCTTTTTTTTTTTTTTCCTAAGAAATACTGCAATCCCCTGTAATAGAGAAAGAGAGAGCGCTAAGTATATCAGCGTAAGTAAAGCCTCTTTACGTTATTGATGGGAGGATTGTGTTGTTTGAAATCCATTTCCAATTAGCTTAAGCAATGAAGGAAAGGCTCAGTTGCCTTAGGAAAGGCTTTAGTTAAGTCCTATACAAATTAGCTGCAATAGTGTTAATAATTACTGGAATCTGCACACTTATGGGCTAGTGGATGCTGTTCATGCTGTTACCACTGTGTCAGCATATTCTGTTGTCAGCGGGGCTATCTATATGGCACAAATTTAACTATGGCAGTGACACATGGTGTTCACGTAAGCAGCGCCTTCACAAAGCAGAAAGAATGGATTTTCAGTCTTCAATATCCCCATGCTACAAATCTAGTGCAAAGTCATACAATAGTATAAATACACAAAGGTTTTGTTGCTAACCAGGTGTCAGACAATTTGACAGTGCCACAACTTTTGTGTTTTAGTCTTGGTGCAGAATTCTGCAGGAAACTATGACTTCTGCAGGAAATAATGAACAGCTGCTAGGAGAAGTAATTGCTGTGAAGTAGGTAGATGCAGTCCATATTCCTTCTGCTCCTCCTGTTCCTGCATCCCCTATGACTGCCTTTGCATGACTGTATTGCAGTAGAAACAGCAGAGCCTTGTCTGCAACATGGTTTTACAGTGGTATAGGTAACCTCTGCTATCTCTCAGCAAAAACATGCATTTCTTCCCAACAGTGAAGACAATAACCAGAGCCTGGGGGGTTACTGATGAACTTTGGTTAAAGCTCCATCTGTGTTGTTACAAGACCACAGCACCTGTTAGTTCATAAGGATACCCTTCACCCAAGCTAAAAACAATTTAAAAAAAAAAAAATCACACCTTTTTCCTCAAAAAAGACAAATGTATGCCCTCCAGCTCCCTTATTGCTAAAAGCTCTAGGGTTGCGGTGGCATTGAAAGGTAAGGCTCTATTTTCACCACCAAAGATGGAGATCTTTGAAGCAAAATGACTGCTACTCACAATAAATTCCCCAAAGAGAAAAAACAGCAGGCGAGTTTTGGTGTCTGTATTTTATTATTATTACTGTTTACTGTACCATAGCAAGGCAAGATCTACTGAAGGTAGGGAGCATTGGCCTCACCCAGACAACTTATGGCAGGTGACACCTCTGCCTTTCCCTGCCAAAATGAGCACAGAAAGAGCTAACCCAGGCATGTCACTTTTTGTCTGAAGTATAAGACTGGTTCACATAGAGCCTGCTCTAACAGCCTGCTTTGATTTTTGCTTCAGGGAATAAAGAATGAGATGGGTTCAATTTGCAGTTATTCAAATTGCTGATGGATCTTCTCAGCTAAGTATCAAAAATCAGTTGTTCCAACTTTGTATTCATAGCCCAGCACTGAATTGTCTCACCTCTTGTGAGTTTACTTCTGTTTACTCTGTGGACCATTAAGTAGGCAGCTACTCGGGGACACACCATTGACTTCTACACAGCTTCATAAAAGCTACTTAACTCACTGTGACAAATTATTTGGTCCTGCAGACCTCTAGGTATTACAATCTTTTATTGGGACAGCCTGAATCAGAGCTTGTGTTGAAGGTGCAATGCATGCACAGAATGGAAATCCTCCTTGATCATTGGCCCAAATTAGAGACTTCACTTGATGTAATGGAGCTGCCCCATACCCTGACTGCAAATCACTACCACCTGGAATCAAAAATCTATGCCAGGGTTTCTCTTCAGAGAGGTGTCAGTGATACACGAGCCTTCACAGATAAACAACTTCTTGTCATACTGTAGCTGAGATAGTGTTTGAATATCCTCTATGGTTTTAAAAGGGGTAGAAACTAACTCAGTTCCAGCTTGTTATGGTTTAACCCAGCAGACAGCTGAACGCCAGCCATTCACTCACTCCCCCACAGTGGGATAGTCCAGAAAACTGGAAAGTGCAGGAACTTATGGGTTGAGATAACTATGGTTTAATAAGAATGGGAAAAGAAAATAATAACTAAAAAAAAAAAAAAAAGAAACATAAAGAATAAACAAATCAAGTGATGCACAACAGTCCCCAGGCAACAGCAGCCCCCTCAGCCAGCTCCCCCAGTTTCATTGCTCACCATGATGCCATGTCATACGGAATGCCCCTTTGGCCAGGCATTAGGACACAGCTAAATGAAACTCACCAGAAAACCTTTTTCTTCCATGTCTCCCTGTCACCCATTACGTTTTATGCTTATAGAAGAGTAATAATATTGATAGCAATGCCAAATAGTATTACTGCATGTTTGATGGTCAATCTCAGCTGTAGAAACGTTTCTGCTCGCTGAGGTCTGCCTGCGCATCACCTTGGAAATCACTTGCAGCGCTCTGAGTAAAAAATATCACCTTAAAAAGGGAAGTTTCAGACAACCTGACCTTGCTGTCCTTAGACTAATGACACTTTCACCTCCGGGTCTGGATTGCGGTTGCCTGGCACAACGGACTGCTCGTACCGCATAAAACCCCCTCGGCGCTTTCTAAGCAGCCCTCCCGGCCCCGCAGCCCCCTCCGTACATTTCAGACCGGCAAAGCGCAGCGAGGACGAGCCGTACGGGCACACCGCGGCTGCTCGGGGTGGGGTGGGGGGGGGACGGACACTGCGCCTCCCTCTCCCGCGGGGCTCAGGGTGAGCGGCACGGCGGGGCCGGACACGCGTGGCGCTGCGGGGCACGATGCAGTGCATGCAACGCAGGGCTCACCTGCCGCCGAGACGTGGAAGAGGAGGCGGGGGCGGGCGGCGCGGATGGCCGCCGAGAGCCCCCGCTCGCTGCCCGGCGCTGCCCCGCGGCGCTCGGGCATCACCCGCACCCGGAGCCGCCCGGAGCCGGCGCGGAGCCACCAGGCGAAGAGCTCGGTGACGTTGAACTCCAGCTGGGCCCCGCCGGAGCCCGGCGGCGGCTCGGCGGCGCAGCCGTCCCGCAGGCTGCCCTCGCCCACCTCCAGCACCAGCTGCTTGGCTCTCCGCAGCCGCCGCCCGGCTCCGGGCGACCCTCCGGGGGAGGCGAGCGGCGAGGCCGGGGGCTGCCCTCCTCGGGCGGCTCGGAGCAGGGGGGCGCAGTCCAGCAGCAGGCGGCCCCGCGCCGCGGCGCGCCCGGGCGGCCCCAGCGGCAGCAGCTCCCGCACGTAGGTGCGGAACAGCGAGGGCACGACGAAGTCCACCGCCAGGTTCCTCCTCTGCAGCCGCGAGAGCCCGGGGCTCTCCCGCGGCCCCGCCGCCTCGGGGGCCAGGCTGAGGGCGAGGCTGGCGGCGGCCAGCAGGCGGGCCAGCAGCCCGCTGCTCGCCATCACCGCCCGGCGGCGCCCCCGCCGTGCCCGGAGCTCACGGAGCGGCCGTGCCCGGGCTGCCCGCGGTGCCCGCGCCGCCGCCGCCGCGCGAGCTTTGCCGGCTCCAACTACCCGCCACAACGCGGGCATTACCCGGCGGGCGCTGACATCACGCCCGAGCCTGCCCGCCGGCAGCCAATGGCGGCCCCGGCAGCTGGCATTATGCAAATGAGCGGGGGCGGGGCGCGGGAAGGCTCATTGAGAAAAAAATGGCCGGGCGGCGCGCCGCGCCCCGCGGGGGTCCCCAGGTGCCGGCCCCGAGAGCCGGGGGCTGCGGGGCTGTGGGGCTCCCGTCCCGCCTCCTCCGCGTCCCCGCCGGCAGTGATGGGCAGAGCGGTTCGTTTTTCTCCCTGCCTTCCCCCTCTCTCCCGTTCGTTTCTTACCTCCTTAAAAACCGAGGTCCCCAGAGCGAGCCTTTCCTCGGTAGGGAAAAAAAAATAATAATTAAAAGGAGAGAAGTGCAGAGGAAAAAAATCCTCCAGCACAAGGCATTTTGAAGAACGGAACTGAATTGTTCCATTTCAGCATGCAAACAACAGCTTTAAGAATGGTTCGTGCACCCATTTCCTTTTTTAAACCTATAATAAACAATGTGAAATCACTGTAATTACATTAGTGCTCTAGCTAATCATAACTCATTCATATTTCTGGAAGTTGCCCACACGAATTAATGACTTATTATTATCTCTTTAGTTTGATCCTTAATGCAGGTATATTTTTATAATCCAGGTACTTGAACTATATAATCATTAGAGTGCAATTATTCTGTCAAGCAGTTATTCTTTTGCTTATATCAAATTAACGTTAATACACAGATATTCTGGAGCAGAACCCCAGTGTAATTCTTCCATAATTGTAGTGCTAAAGAATGTAATTGCAGGCACAATCCTAGACAAGAAACAAGATCTTTTCAGTACAGAAGAGCTGAAGAAGGCACTTCAGGGCAATCATCGCAGGAATAGTTCTGTACTGCACTTCATACCAAAAAGCACTGCTGTGCCATATTCAGCCTCGTACAGGTGTGCTAATTCAGAGCCCATCCGGGATGACAGTGTTGTCCCAACTCACGCTAATGGGCTGTGTACATGCCTTCTTTTCTCCACAGCTCTTAGTGTTTTAAAATTCATTAGATCCACTTGCTCAATATGCAAACCTACTTCATTCACTTCTAAGTTTTAGTAAAACTTTGGGGTTTGAGCTTCCTTTTCTTAGTTGAGCAAGATGAATGGAAAAATACTGGAATAGACAGAAGTGTTCTGCAACACAAAATCCAATACAGAAGTATTTTAAATTAAGATGTATACTTCTATTCTTTGACTATTCTTGTTAGAAAATGTTAAACGGACTGAATTCACCATGGTCTTTGCATTCAGCCTCTTGTTTTAGTCAAGGGAATAGTCATATTAACACGTACATTCATGGACTGAGAACTAAGTCCTGCCTTCTTCACCAAGTTATTTTGGACTGTCATCTTCCTCTGTCTGAGTATCGTATTCTAGCGAGTCTCTTGCAAGAGGGATGAAAATTAGTGTAGAATACATCGTGTTAGGCACAAAAAATGTTCTAAAAATCTCTTTAAACAGTTTATTGTAGGCTATTTTCCTGCTTTCACAGATCTGATTTCCATCATATGAAACTGCTACCATAGAACTTGTGCAGTTTTCACTTCTTAGTATTTTCCCCTCAGATTCAACCAGTTTGAACCTAACGCTTAGCTCATTTCAGTGAACGGAACGTCTCTCATTGACTTGAACAGACCACACAGGACACAGTTCAGGTTTTAACTCAGCTGCTAGAAACAGTAATTGGATTGATTCCTTTATCCCCAACATCCTGCTGAAATAGGCCATACCTGTCATGGCAGCTAGCAGACTGTTATTTAACAGTCCCAAGGAAATCAGGTAACACAAAAGTATGTAGATTTTTCCACTGTATTACCTTGTTTTATTGCCGTGAAACACAAGAAGGTTAGCGCTGAAAGCTAAAATGAAGAGGCATCTTTATTAATAGACATTAAATGAAATAGAAACAGATGTTAATACATTGGAAGAGAAAAAGTGAAAATAGCCCCATTAATGAAGAGAGGCAAAGAAATCAATGAGGGATCTCCCGTGGTTGTGTTGCTGGGCTGCCTTTTATCTTCCTTTCTAAATTCTCTCTTTAAATTAAGAGTGGAAATTTGGGAAAAAGTAAAAGTCTGGTCAATACAACTGCTAATGAGGGACAGGTAAGAAAATACTTTGTGCAATTCTGTGATAGGCTGGGATTGGCCCTGGACAATATGCATCCCAGTTTTTTAATTTAGCTAATGAATTGACAATGTCACTGGCAATTAATTTTGAAAAGCAGAAGAAATCCAAGGATGTCTCAAAGGATGAGGGTAGGGGGAGATTAAATGCAGTACTAGTCTTTGCAGTGGAGAAAAAAAGTCACATTGGTAGGTGTCTAAATTTCAGCACCAGCAAAACAGAAAAAGAGAATAAGGCAGACAGGGTACTTCAGTGGAAGCATAGCAGTGTGCAGACGGAGGGTGTTAGACCCCCAGAAGGCATATTCTTCCAAGGGAAGACGTGCAAATCTCAAACACTGCACATTTGTGCCAGGATAATGGTATTAATTGTTGGGGTTCAAACTGAAACTGTGTAGACATTGGAAAAGACACGGAAAAAGTAGTATATCCACATTCTAGTAAACCTTTGCCAGAACTTCATGTGAAATATTAGTAGGGTGATACTAGAGCTGGGTAATATCATGTGGCCTCAAAATTAATCAGAGGAATTGGAAAACTGCATTAGCATTGGAAAATGCAGTAGCATGAGTGGAAGATGGGTATATAATAGACTGAGGTAGAATAAGCAATTGCTTTGTGTTAACCTTTCTGCTAATACTGATAATGTAAACAGTACCGACTCTTCAGGCAACACTGCCTTGGAAAGGCTTCGCTCAGAAAAAAATGGAGCATCATAATTTGAACAGGACCATTAAAGTGTCAGAAAAGCACAAGGAGAGAAATATCGTTGAGGAGCTAAGCCAACTACCAACAAGGAAATGGCATTTAAGAACAATGTGTTTCAGCTAGACTCTAGGAAGAAGTAGCTACTACTGAGTATAAGCACTCCTATGAAGACACTGTTTATCTGTCCCTCCTACCACAGAGTCCCCATCCAAGTCATTGGTTTTCTTTACTCAGGGCATGTATTAGATCTAAGGTGTAGTGGCAAGGTCACAGAACAAAGTATCTGTACACAACAAACTTTTCAAAGAGGGAGATGAGGACTGGGACTGGTTTGGGACATGTCAGGACAGCAGGATGAACCGGCAGTGGAATATAGCAATGTACATCTTGTTTGGGACTGTCTGAGAGCAGACCTATGGAGGAGCAGCATAGTCCCTCTCTGGGGTCTTGCTGCTTAAGCCTGCTGAGCTGAACTGAATGAGAGATGTGTTAGACCAACAGAATCCAATCAATGGCCCAACCTTCACTTAAATAGACCTTTCCTCACTAGGTTTTGGCAGAACAATTGTTCATCAGCTTGCATCTGATTTATGACAGGCATAGACCGATGTCCTTACTCTCTGCCTTGCCACCCACAGTCCCAAGCTCTTTCATCCAGAGTTTGTAATTGAGGGGCCAGATATGACACCATATAAATCTCAACTGTATTGCCTTAGCGAAGCTACTTTGCATTTACACTAATGAGACAGAAAGTAGATTCTGACTTCTGCTCATTACTTTGTAGTTACTCTGCCTCCTTGAGACAAAGGCAGTGAATCAACAATGCCCATTCTTCCATTCCCCGCTCCACATAAGCTACCTGCCCTTTGGCTGTTGAGTGTTTCTTAACTAGCCTTTCATTTACTGAGATAAAGCATAACAGCCTCTTTTATTACATTCTTTTTTTTTTCTTCTCCCTCATCCCGTCAATTAGTGTTTGCATTTTAACAGAGATCCTGCCTGAAACCATTCTGGCTGCTAATGTCACAATTAGTGTTTCTTTCTCTTGGACCAATTATAGGTGATAATGTTACTATTTGACAGCGTTTGTGTCCTAATTGAGAGCCTGATTGCAAATCGGGTGCTCAATTCCACCCAAACTGCTGCTTTTTCAGAGGGTTTCCCCTAGTCGCAGCTTTTTACACGTCCCTGGAATTATACACGGAAAATACAAGTAGATGAGTCATCACTCGTATGAAATATTTTCTCACCTTCATCCAGATTCATCTCTCATCTTTTATTGAATACTCAAAGCATTTTTTCTTATTTGGCGAGAATTTTTATCAAGGAAAGAACATGCCACAGATATGAGGAGTATGGAGCAGGATGGAGCTCCTGAATGACAAGTTTAATCCATCACTTAATGCCCACACTGTCAAGTGTCAGCCATGAACCCCCGATGGTTAATATCAACCAACGGCAGGGTGCATCAATACAACAGCTTTGCCCATTAAGTTAAACAAACAAATCAATGCTGAAAATGTGTCAGGTTATAAAATGGGAAAAAACACCCTATAAAGAAGTTTCTGGGATAAAAATAGAGTAAGATGAATTACTGTGTTTATAATAGGGGAAAATGCCATTCTCAATTTGAAAGAAATGAAAGAAAGAACAAGAGGGAGGAAAGGGGGAAGGAAGGAAGGAAGGAAGGAAGGAAGGAAGGAAGGAAGGAAGGAAGGAAGGAAGGAAGGAAGGAAGGAAGGAAGGAAGGAAGGAAGGAAGGAAAAGAAATCTGGCCCCGTCTTTCTTTTGGTGCTATATAAAATGGCACAGGGACATTTGACTGCATTACCTCTCCTGTAATTCTGCTTGCCTCGCCTTGCATTAATGCAGGAGTCCGCTTTTAAATCTACAGCAGAATTTATGTCTATTAGGAGGCTGGTGTGCACAACAGAGGTTATAAAGCATATGGAAGAGAGCATAAGAACAGAGTAGGGTGGAAGCTGGTACTCATCATGTTTGTGAAACCTGCATTGTGGTTTTCATACCACGTAGTATCAAACACATCACCAATTAAATGTGATTTCTTCCCTGATCACCTGAATGAGCAATATACAGACACAAATATGCACTTGACTTGCTTCAGTGCCCTTAAATGA